AATGTCAACTATAGCCATCCTTCAGCTAGTATTTGCTCCTATATAAGACCAAAGTAAAGATTCCACGCCCTCCTTCTAGAGCTAAGGGATACGATAGACAGGCATCTGTTGGTAATGGTTGCGCCATTAATTCAATCACATCTCAACCTTCGTCTATTGATCATCTCTTACACACTTTATTGCCATTAATTAACAATCATTTTTCTTCTAAAAATATTTTACCGGACAACGCTGCTCAAAGCTCTGTAATAAATCCATCTTCACTCCTTCCATCAGCTCATCATGGATCTAATAAAAATCCTGCAATTGAATTGCAAAAGCCTTTCAGCTCGTAAATCAGACATGAGTCATCTTATTAATAAATTTGAACCTGCTATAGGTACTTGCTTTGCATTTCTGAAACCTGATTGAGACCTGGAAGCCGTTTTTGTATTCCGGGTTTTTCCTGTTTGAGAGATGACAGGGATGATGGATATGCAGTTAGTGCTATCTTAGTTAATCGTTCATATTCGTTTTCACACATTTCTATTCCCACTCACGCCATAAGATTAACGTTGTGGCTATCAAATTCTTAACATATAGTTTGCTTCTATTTATATTCCTCATCCTCACCTATCGCTTGCTTCGGAACTCCAGGTCATTTTTTCTTCCCTACTTCGAGCAATCATTGTAATGGGTGATTTTAACACCCATCACACTGCTGTCATTATTGTGATATTTATTAATGTCATTAAAAGGATATTTATTAAAAGGATTCATAATAAGTCAACATCAGTTAGCCAAAATAATTAATTTAAATAATAAAAAAAAATGTTATTACCTTAAAATCTAATTAATTTAAATTAATTAAATATAATTAATCTTGACCTAAGGTGAGGTATTGTTTCGTGTAATAGTTTTTCATAGTTACTATAAATATTACAAAGAAACGGTATTTCCGATTTATAAACCGGTAAGCTTTGACACATCACTATAATAGTCAATATAAATAAGTGTACTGTGTAGTAATTCTATAGATTACTCGGCTTCATTGCGATTTCAAGAAAGGGCAAATTGTGTATTTCTTTCTCTGTCCCTCTCGTTGAGAAGTCTATAAGAAGGACACGATCAGATATATTGTAGATGTTCAATTAAATACAGTTGCTCCATGCTTGTTATTGCTCGAAGTTATTGATTGTGTAGATATCGATTATCGTTTATTTTGTGCTTTTGTGAACATTATATTTTAGTTCTGTGTTGTGTGACTTTGACTTTAAGTAAAGTGTAAGTACATTGTCTACCAAAATGTACAACGAGCGATGTGTGGGTTATAATAATTCTGCAGGAAGCTATTTTCCATAATTTACGTGTTATAGGAAACTCATTTAAACAATCTTTTATTGAAACAATTTTTAATGTTTTTCTTTTATCATAAACACATTGAAAGGTCATCAACAAGTCAAAATCGTGTCAAATTCCTCCGGCATAATATTTCTTTAGTCTCATTTTGACGAAAAGTTTTTCATTGGAGTCTCTGGAAGACACAAGTTTAATATTTACCTATATATCTATAAATATTATTATTGATATTGGTACTTCTTAGGAAGGCCGATTAATAACACAAAAATAATACAGAAATATCACCATACTAATGGTATTTTATTTTTGCAATAAGTTTATAAATTATACATCTATATCTTCCTAGAGAATACTATTAGTCAAAATTATATAAAAATTCGCTCAGTAGATATAAGATTAACCCAAACAAACAGACTCAGTGTAGTCGGGGACTTTTTATAATATGTAGTGATATAATAATTTTAATAATGTATTAAATTGTATCTGATATATTTTGTTTAATTTTATATAAGAAAAAGTACTAAGACAATTAGATAATTACTTAAAAAGAAATTAATCAATGCTTTTTAGTATCACAAATACCTGTACACAACTCGTTAGAATCCATTCAGCTGTTACCCGGACTTTTGACCAATTTCTTTCTTTTTACTTATGATTGAGTTCATGCTTCATTGCACAGACAATTGCAGAAAAATGCAACAAAAATTGCAGAAAAGTTTGATTTACTAACCATTATAGACTGAATGTCCACAAAACATGGTATGACTTAACCGAAATTATAATAAAGATGTATTTTTTATTCCAAGAAACATGGATCTACAGTATAATACTTAATTTATGTTAGAGACGCTCAGTTCACTCGCATTGCCAAATGAAATGGCTTACTGGTTTGTAATTAAATAAATTATATAATAATTTAGTAGAAAACAAAAAAAAACATACTTGATTTACTATGTACTAACAAAGGTTCAATTTGTTTTCTATACTAATATTATAAAGCTGAAGAGTTTGTTTGTTGTTTTGAACATGCTAATCTCAGGAATTACTAATACGATTTGACAAATTGTTTTTGCATTAGATAGCCCGTTAACTGAGGAAGGCTATAGGCTATATATTATCCTGGAAAAATGTATGATTTCCGTGGGATAGATTTGTTTTCATCTAGATACAAACCCGAAGTGAAGCGAGGGTGAGTCACTGGTTAAATAATATATGAACAATGAACATATAATATCAATACCAATTATATAATTTATGTTTTCAAATTCTTTCTCTTTGAATCAGGAATAAGAAGAATAGATGGTAAATGATAGTTCCTTAACATTGGTTTGTTGATGGAACTGGAAGCTCAAAGTAGGAACACTTAATGTGTTCTTTAGAAACTCTTATAACAGACCCACTGTACAAGGAATATAGCCGTCGACAAAGAAATATTGGACAAATAAGAAAAAATGTAGGTAAGGTGTTTTTTTTGTTCGGACAATTACACACAGCACCATCTAGTTCCATGGTATAAAACTTTAAATACATACATACATACATAAATATAAACACCCATGACTGGAGTACAAAGATTTGTGCTCATCACCCAAGTGATTGCCCCCAGCGGGACTCGAACCCACGACTGCTGGCGCAGCATGTAGGGTAGCAACAAACTGAGCCAAACGTGTCGTCATAATATTTTGAATGTGTCTATATTATGATAAATGTAGTATTTTCAGTAGTTTTTTTTGTCGAGTCTGTATTAAGTTTTTAAAGGATGTTTTCAAGTAGCATCTTGTTGCATATTGTAAGGTTGGTATATTAGAATTTTAACTGGGAATTTCATAAGGAGAGTGATAGATCCAAATAGTCTTTTAATGCCCCCAATACAGCAGGTACATGTTTTTTATTTTATATATTTTTTTCTTTTATTAAGGAGTATACTAAACACCAGGAACATTTTTCTATGCTTTTTTAAAATCTAAACTAATATTATAAAGAGGCAGAATTTTTTGAGTTTGTTTGTTTGATTCTTTGATCACACTAATATCAGGAACTACAAATCTGATCATTTTTATTTATTTAACATTGGGAAATGTACAGAGTATAATTAATAAATATAGCTAAACATCTCTAAACAAAATTTTTAAGCCAATGTATGTAGTTTCCATTAAAATATAATTTTTGGTTCTGGCATGATTGAGTAACAAATATCTAAAGTTTCACAACTATAATATTAGTATGATTTCTTTTTAAGTCAAACATATAACTTTAATTATTGTACATAGATCTTGATTAATTTTTTTTTATTTTTGTAAATAAAAAAATATAAATTATACATTTAAGTCAAAATGTATAATTTATAATTTTTTATTTACAATAAAGAAAATTACAAATATACTTTATTATATATATAAAACAAATGTAAACTTAGTTATTACTGTAAGTCATGTCTGTGTGGAATTGTGGCAAGAGTGCTGGCTGGTGGGATAATTGAATTGTTTTATATTTTTATTTCAGATACTGCTTCAGGATTTTGTGTTAATAATAATACAAAGGCTCGTTTTCAAAATCTTATAACAATGTAAAAAAGTTAAAAACCAAAGAGGACCAAGAATGCATTAAGATTTATATACAGGTAAGAAAAAATGGAATATGGATGGAAAAGTATGCAGTTTAGATATTGAAGATTTGAAGTTTGACTCAGAGGAAACATTCAAAGTACTGCATTCAAATATATTTTTTACAAACTGCTCTGATATACATTTTTTATCTTCTATCTATGATTCTATACTAATATTATAAAGAGGTGAAGTTTGTGTGTTTGTGAGGTTGTAGGGGGTAATCTCTGGATCCAATGAACCGATTTAGATGAAATTTGGTAAGAAGGTAGTTTGCAGGCCTGGGAAGGACATAGGCTACTTTTTATCCCGGAAATAATCTCCCAAGGGGGTGAAAATGCGGATAAAAGTTTGCATTGGGAAGCAGGCCAGTCGATATCCATAAAAAATTGAGAACTACAAGTTATCACCCGCAGTCAAATGGTGCCGTTGAGAGAGCTCATAGATCTTTGAAAACAGCCCTTATGTGCAGAGGCAATACGGAAGATTGGGTGAACGAATTACCGTCAGTACTACTGGGCTTAAGGGCAAGTGTACGCGATGACACAAGTGTGAGCGCTGCCGAAATGGTTTATGGACAAGTGATACGCCTACCAGGAGATTCCTTTCGCCCACAAAGCTAGAAATCACTGAAAATGAAACTTTTTTGCAAAATTTGCGACATAGAATAAAGCAAATTTCATCGATTCCGAAACGAGAAAATAGGCAAGGTCGTATATTCGTACATCCTGAATTAAGCGCGTGTACACACGTTTTCATTAGATGCGATCAAGTCACGAAACCACTGTCTCCACCATACTCCGGTCCATACAAAGTTATCGAACGTACAGACAAATATTTTAAAATAATGAAAGCAAATTCGCAGCAATGCGTTAGTATCGACAGATTAAAGCCAGCATTTACAATTGACACCAAAGAATGTACAAGCGCAACATATGAGGATACGACTTATGTAAACAAAAATCGAAATGAACCGAGGATTACAATATCTGGTCGTATTAGCAAGCCAGTCGTTACCTTTGCTCCGTAATAACATTATCTGTAATTATAATAATAACGATGGGAAAACAACAGAGCAAAGAAGTCAAAGAGGAAATAACAATAGCGCAAAATGGTGCCGGCAATGAAGCATATGCAACTACAAAACACACGGAAACGATATTTAGAATTGAGCTGTATTTAGTTTTCATAACTTTATGTATCCTGGGAATTATAGGATATTTTATTTGGAAAAATTGCAAAACTAACTATGGGAGATACATGCTCAGAGAGTTGCAAGATTTAGCAATTACACCTTATCGCATTAGCGACCAGGGCCCAAACAGCCCGGTTACTCAGCAAGCGATTGTGTGATGTGAAGTGAATAACTTGGTGCCTAGTTAAAAGGCATGTATAAGTGCAAGTTATGGTTACATTAGTTTAATGATACTATATTCGAATTATGAACTCTATACTCACGTAATATACCACATAATGTTAGTTAATAAAACAATATATATTTAAGCATGTATTTCTATTCCAATTTCATGAAGTAACATGGAATATTATTATTTTATATTGTTCGAATTATGATATACTTTTATTAAAACAACCTTATTTTGTACCATTTTTATTACAGCTAATCGAATTTCAAGATGTGAGTAATCAATACTTTATTTTATTTTTTTGCGTGGTTTCAAATGATCATTAATGAAAACAATGTTTACTATTTTTATTTTTTGTGTTTTGTTCTTTATTCTGAGATTATATTGCAAAAACATTATGTAATCATTTTTAGTATGTACAAAGATTTTACATTCTATGTTTATATCTATATAATATATCTATACTATAATTTTACCTATTTTTGTCATTAAGAAAGTGTATTCCATATTTTTTTAAAGGGGGATATTATGTGCCGTCAGCACATTACATTATATGTATTTGCGCCCTCAGTTGGAATGAGACACTCGGATGAGATACTCGTACTCATAATAAATATATCGTTCAGTTTTACGTGTTAATTTATTACACCATATAGCACCCGACCGCTAAAAACCCTTAGTAGCCTGATTTACGAAAGTGATTTATTTTTAATATTACTGTGTTTGCTTGAGGGTCTAGATGAAGGGAAAAATAGCTAAAAAAATCACAATATTTATTTTACATATTTATTTAAAAAAAAACAGGTATCAATTTTGATACTTCAGACATTAACGCCATAAAGAAATCAGATATACCTATGCATGACATAATGCGAAACATTGATTGTTTTATTATCGCATAACGTCACTTTACACTTTTTACAGAACCAGGAGGTAAGTTTCCTACAATTATTAGATTTACACTTATTTCTAGAATCCATAAATATTTTTTCATGACCAATACAATCGCAACGCACGTCAGTAGAGGGTAGTACTTGTACACCTGTCCGGGGTCTTTTAGAAGGTACTGTAGTGTCTTGTCGATTGTTGGTACTGGGTCTTCCCCTTTTATTTTTCGAGTGACTTTGATATCTACATAAAGTATCGGCAAGCTCAGTTCTAAAATCTGCTAACTTTATAATATTCTTCTGAAGTTTTCTTTTCATTGTGTTTACCTTTTTGTATAGTACCCAAGCATTGATGAGTCATGTCTAACAAGTGGTAGACGAGCCTCGTTATCCACTTTCTCGACTCTATGCGGATGCGATATCGACCAATGAAGCTATGCATCAAATCAACGCCGCCCATGTGTGCATTATATTCTTTTATGACCCGAGGACATGATACTTGAACATTGGCCTTTAGTTTTTTTTCGTAGCGGGTTATAGTATCAGCTGGTTCAGCGCCAACATACGTGGAAAGTAATAGTACTTGTTTGTTGTCTTTCCAACATGTGGCCGAAAATTCGTAGCCTTCGTGAGAGGCCACATTTTCGTGATATGTTCCTCTGGGTACGGTAGACTTCATAATTTCCCGTTTCTCCGGCGACTTGCACGACTTTCCAAGCCTGTTTCTCTGTACTGTTCCAAGACAATACCTTCGTTGGTCAAGTAATGTAGCAGAGGAATATTTGTATAAAAATTGTCAAAATAAGTTATATGATTGACGTGCCTTGGTACTGGTCGTAACAATCGAATAACTGTATTCGATACAGCTCCGAGGTCTGGTTCGCCAGGTCTATGTCCTTAGCTCCTGAGTAAATCTCAAAACTATGGGCATACCCAGACAGAGAGAATAAAACGTATAATTTGATTCCCACTTATGGGGCTTGTTGGGTAAGTATTGTTTCATAAAATGTTTAATTTTAGTTGAACACATTTGCTCATCTAGTGATAGATGATGCTCAAATGGTACAGTAATAAATTTCTTGTTCAAATAGTCTATAACTGGTCTTACTTTATGCAGTCGGTCGTGCTAGGGATGATCAATGGGCAAATGTTTAGAGTCGTCATTCATGTGAAAAATTTGTCGAATTTTATCAAATCTGTTGCGATTCATTGTTTGTGCTATGGGTTCAAACTTTGTAATGTTTGACCAGTATGACCTGACACTAGGATAATGATATACACTAGTAAAAATAAGAATTCCAATAAATTTACGTAATTCTAAGACAGTTACAGGTTCTGTAAAGTTGGGATTCTTTTGGAAGGCATATTTATTTGACTCGTTCACTAGAAATCTCAAAATTTCTTCACCGAAAAAATAAGAAAAAAACTGAAAAGGAGTGTCTAAGTTCATAATTTCTTGTGAATACTCAGTGTTTCCAGCAAACTGGAAAGCTTTTTGGACTATGTCCATATTCTTTGTTCTCCACACTAAGTTTCTAGAGTTGAAAGGTGCGGTTTGCAGGTTGTTCTGGCTGCTGGTTGTAGGAGTTGGGCTTCGTTCAACAGTCTCTAAATTATGTTGCATGTCGGTATCTACGTTTGCTGCAGGTGGATCTGCATCCAAGTTTGGGTCAGTGGGAAAATTACCTACATCCTCTTCATCTTCTAGCTCCATCAGACGATCTCTTTGGCTCGAATAATAGTCTATGTCATTTTCATTGTCGGTGGAATCGTCTTCGGAAATTTCACCATTTTCTAACCGCTTCAATATGCTCTCAATCTCTTCTGGTCGCATTTTTGATAAATTACTATAATAAAATAAAAATAAGAGTAATCCCAACACCAAGCTATGCAGAAAAATAATGAATCGGAAGTTCAAAAAGTTTTTATAGCTAAAGAATTAGTAGGTAGGTTTTATGTAGGACGGAATGCCTGAAGTATCAAAATTGGTACTCACAAAAATAGCTCTAGTTTCTTCAAGTAAAACATGCACTCGCAAAATATAATTATATCATAGCGAAAATAATATATTCACTTACCTCAAAAGTATTTATATTCTTCAGAAAAAGAAAATATATCAAATTTGTATTCAACAAAACTTTTAGTAAAATGTGTTTACTTGTTCACTTTACCGCACAAGTAATATGTCATAGATAAAATAAAACAATAATGACATTTGATTTTTTTTTTATTTCGTTGGAAAGAATATTATACAACTGTAAAATACGTACAGCCAACCTATAAAAAAAAACTAATAGTAATGTGAACATTCGGTTTAAAAGATTGGTATCAAAATTGAAACTCTAGGTTATCAAGGGTTAAGCTCTTCGCCAAATAACGGAGTGTTAATTTTAATTTCGTTGGTCGCCCGATTCACGTCAGCGTTAGAGACAACGTTAATGGAACGAGTGAGACATTGTTTGTCTTTGGTCCTTAAGTACGTTATTCCTTCTCTATTTAAGATATCAGTACCGATTATGATTGGAAACGAGATACAGTTTGATGGAACTACTACTAAATCTGCTTCTATGGCTATTTCACTAAATTCAAAAGTAAGATTTACATAAGACCTAGCTACAATCTCTTGATTGCTTAAACCTTTCAATGCGCAATTCGTGGGCTTAGCATTACAAGAAAAATATTTCAAAGCATCGGATGATATCAGAGAAATATTGATTACACCACTATCTATAAGAACGTCCACGGGAATGTCTTGTACTACCGCTGTGGTAATATCGTTATTTACAGCATCACCTACACGCTCACTACAGAGATTGACGTTTTGCTTATGTGGTCCCGACCTAGCTTTTGCAAAACAATCATTCTCCGAATGGCCAGGTTTCTTGCAAAATGTGCAGTTAGTAATAGGAGATTTGGGTGGTTTTGGTGTTGTAGGACAATGGTAACTTCGATGCCCTGGTTGTTTACAATTAAGACATATCTGATTTGAAAGAGGTGGGCGATTGCTAGAAAATTTCTTAGGCCGTACTATACGATTTTTTGACTTATGGGAGTTGTGGGTAGATGTCGATACTTCGCGATCAGGTTTTTGATAAATCGAGAGGAACGAAACGATTGTTTCGGAAGAAAGGTCCGCGTTAGCAGCGGCAGCACGTACTTGAGCGTCATTAGTGCCACGAATAACGATTAGAGTCATTAATTCTTCACTAAGCCCCTTAACTATGCGTATCCGTAGTATAGCCCGGCGCGCGTATTCGCTGTATGAGGAATATTTATCGGAGGTGGTACTCATCACGTCGAACAAAATACCTGCGTAGTCTAGTCGTCGAGGGCAGAGGGGGTCTAAATTCGCACTTAAAGCTACTCCACGATCTATCATCGGTAACCCATTCGTTTAACCAGACCCGTGCATTGCCCTTGAGACAACCCGCAACTCGCGATAAACATTCCCCATCATCCTATCGGTTAGCTACTTGCGCACGATCCACCTCACTACACCAGGCGTCAATGTCATGAATAGATGGATCAAAGTTCGAAATATAATAATTTTGAGTGCGTCCTGGAATAATGGAGTGGATCGCGTCAACTATTGCCTGGGCGGAAGACGGTACATTGTCCGATTGTATGGGGGTAGATGCAAGATTATTTTTAATAGATTTTAAGCGTGACATAATAGTGTCTAAAGTATGGTCAAAATTTGTTCTAGGCATCGGTAATTTACTCCCTAAACGCGAGCCAGAGACAGCAGCAGCTTGAAGAAGCCAGTTTTTCGAGGAAGCAGAAGATCTATTACAGAGAGTGTTTCATAAATAATGTCGCTTTCCAATGTTCAGCTCTTATGTTATGGCATATGATAATCTTAAGAAAATAAGCACAACTTGTAATTCAAACAAATATATGTAGTGGAAACTCAATAAACCTGGTACATCCAAATAATCAAGGAATTATGGGCAAACAATTGGAAATTGAGTTGTTTCTGAACTCAAATAATATCCATATTTTAAGTATTACTGAACATTGGCTTAAAAACCAGTCTACTTCAATAACCTCTAGGTAGGCCGTTTGTTTAGTAGAGAAAAATCAATACATGGTGGTTCATTAATATTGATACACAATGACTTAAAATATAAAGAAGGAAAGGATATTGTTAAACTCTCTACTGAACAAATTGCCGAGTTAGCATGTGTAGAATCGGATCAGTGTATTATTATGAGCGTATACAGGCCACCTGCGGCTTCATTTGACTCCTTTGAAAGAATAATGGAAAGAGAGTTATCAAAAATATTTACGACCGGCAAAAGTTATACGACCGGCCGCCTGCCTGACGTCAACCCTCCTTGGGAATGTTATTATTTATCGCGGAAGTCTTGTAATATGCACTTTCGATTTTGTTTTCTTTTAAAATATTTTTTTATACTATTACTTAAAGTGTTAATGTAATTTTCGGATATATTTAGAAATAAATTTTGATTACACAATAAATTTTGACAATTTTTTTCTATAATATCGATTTCTTCTAAAAAAAATTCTAAATTTCGGAGAACACTAAACCTTCATAATTTCACCAGACAATAATTGTTCTGTGTCTAACCACTGATTTTCCATGTTCGGGTTGTTTAGACGGATCCATTTTTCATCTCAAGTAACAAATTTGTCTAATAAAACGATCATCTTTCGGCATGCAAGGAGCTGTTTACACACCTCTACTCGGCGTTTCGCTTGAATGTGGTTAATTCGTGAGGCACTATTCGGCATTTTTATAGATCTTACCTAATGATTTTAAATGGGGATATATGGCATCTTTTGAAGGTCCAAGGGAGTCCGATAATTGGCGAGTGCTGGTACTAGGTTGGTTTTCTACTGCTTCCCTTGTAACCTCAATACCCCACTCAGCTGGACGACCTGAGCGCGAACGATCTTCAAGCGTCAAATCTTCATGTGCTGCTTTGAACTTTTGTTTCCAATAATGTCTTAACAAAACACGAATTTCTTATTTATCGCACTCCATACTATTTATTATAAAAACGTACTGCGTCGTCAATAAACAAAGAGAAAATTATTAAAAGAAAGTAAAGCAAGAAAAGAAAGAAAGTAGAGCCGTTTCATCTACTCAGTTTTTAATTTCAAATACTTATCGGTTAAGGGTAGGTTTGTAATAATGTCTTTAACCTCAACGGCATATTGATGATCCAACTGTGCCACTAAGTAGTAAAATTTCGTCTCATCAGTAGTAATGCGGGATAAAACGAACTGTGATTCCACCTGCGCGAACCATAACGCCGGTTCCTCTGGCCAAAATGGCGGAACTCACACGCTGACTCGCCATATCTCTTCTTTGCTTTCGTGTATATTCATTTTTTCCTAACTCATTGTTAATATATATATTCTTCCTCACCGTTAAATTCCTGATCTTGTGTCCTCGGGGTCACCAGTTATGGGCTCACTTGGTGATGTGTGTACTTGTAGTTACAGAAGGAAAAATAACATAAAATAAGTCTTTTAAACTGATTGTATTAATTAAGCACAATGCACAGAAAAGACTAAAAAACTATCTTTTTGGATTTTTTCGCGAATTTATTTTGAACATAAAATCGACCACAACACTAATAGAAAATTCCAGAAGTCGGCAATCGCTTATGATGTCAGAAGCGGTCGTCTTTCTCCGACAGTGGCGCTGAGAACACTGGTAAAATTCGTTTCTAAACATGTGGGGTAGGGATGGGGGAGCAATAAATTCTTTCGTTATAATGACAGCGAGTGAATGAAATGTCATATAGTTAATTTAGTTATTTCAAAGGAATTAAATAAAATAATACACAAATATTACATAATAAGATATTTTATTAATAATTGCTGTATTTATTTTATCGTGAAAGTTGATATATAAAGAATGGTTATTTATAATCGATACATTTTTGCATAACTACTTATTTTTCGTCCCTTCCCTATGGTTGGATTTTTCCGTCATTGGTGTTGGATATTCATAAAAAATTTCAATATAAGATCAGTATTTCTTAATAACTTTGGACATTATTTTTAGCACACAGGATAAAGACTAAAGTGTAATAAATTGTTAAATGATTACTTAATTAACTACTTATTACTATTTAAACATTATTTTAACATAATACAGCATAGTAAAATTAAAAAAGTAGATTTAAATTCCAGTGGTATTTGGTCGTAAATATACGAGCCCCGATGCAAAATTGTTCATCTAGTATGAAAAGTAGTGCATAGCGTAAAATATATAAAGTAAATATTGGTAAAATAATTAAGAACGTTTAATAAAAAATAAACTACAATTTGAGGAACATTTTAAAGTTTATTTTAACGTAACTTAAATTATTCTTTCATGACTTTACTTAACATAAAAAATTAAAAAAAATATTTTAATAAACATAACGCAAAAGTATTCGTCTACCCTTGTCAATAACTTGTACGCAAAATAGTTCGTCTACCACTTAGTTGTGTCGCCTCTGCTCTCAATGACAGCTTTAATGCGAAGAGGCATGGTAGCAACCAACGCTGCACACTCCTCAGGCGTAATTGACTCCCAGACAGCCAAGAGTTTAGCCTTTAAGTCGCTCTTCGATCTTGATGGATTTTATTTTGAGAACTTTTTTCATTTTCCACCATAGAGTTTCGATTGGTGACAAGTCCGGGCTGTTAGATGGCTATTCGATTGTAGGGATGCTTTTCGCCAGTAGCCACGTCTTTGTTGTCCTTGCAGTATGGCAGGAAGCACCATCCTGTTGAAAAATGAATGAATCTTGATGCTTAAGTGACGGAATAGAGGGCAGTAAATTCTCTTCCAAAAGGTTTTGATACCTTGCAGCATTGATAGAACCATCAACAAATTGCATACCACCAACACCTTGTGCAGACATGCAGCCCCATATCATAAGAGACGCCGGAAACTTCACTTTGCGTTTGAGACAATCAGTATGAAATGCCTCATTTTTGTTCCGAATCACTTTTTTCCTTTCATCGCCGACTGTCACTTCAAATTTGGACTCGTCACTCCAAATGATACTACGCCACTGATCGGAAGTCCAAATTAAATGATCACGAGCAAACTTCAACCTCTTTTTCTTTTGTATAGCAGTCAATAGTGGTTTCTCCTTATCGGTGTAAAATCCGTAACCCATTCTTTTTAGGACTCTTTTGCAAGTATCAACTGAGACGTCTTTGTGAATCATGTCCTTCCATTGCACCGTGAGTTCTGCAGCTCGAGCACGACGATTTTTTTTGATAATTTTCTTCAGGATTCTGTTTTCTACTGCACTTGTGATGCGTGGTCGACCAGTTTTCTTCAAACAAGAAGTCGTTCTATTCTTTTTATAGTGCTGAATGATAGATTGGACTGTAGACCTGGGAAGTATCAAGTCTTTAGATATTTGGTAACTTGATTTGCCAGCATCAACCCCACAAACTATTCGCTTTCGAAGCTCTTCACACACGGGTTTACCACGACCCATTGTTCTTTGAAAAGTAATGAAAAAATCTGAAATTTTCAGAATTTATACTGTCTCACTTGACAAATGACACAGAATTACTTTTACAAATTTAAATTATGCAACATAATTGTACAAAGAAGGAAAAATCTTATTTAACTCACCGATAGACGAATTCTTTTGCATCGATTAACAATTAGACGAACTATTTTGCTTATAACTTCTTCGAATTTATAACAGGATATGTATAAATTTAAAAAGCTAAAATAGTTTATTGGTTCATAATTAAAAAATGGCATAAGTAACGCGACATGTGATAGTAGAACAGCTTAATATTTTATATAGATATACAAAAATAATGAAATTAGAAAAAATATCACAAAGAAAATTTCACACTAGATGAACGAACTATTTTGCATCGGGGCTCGTACTACGTTGGCGAAATGGATACGAAAACATTTGTCGGATTAATCATACGTTGGCGGTTAAAGGGTTAACATACAATAGGTTATTAAACTTTATATGAAATCCTGCTTCAGTTATTTTATTTACTGACAATAAATTATATGAAATATTCTTTACAATCAATGCCTCCATATTTATTTTTATATGGTTATACATGAACTTTAACTTTCCCTTTTTATTACTCTCTATGTATTGACATTTGTTAAATATTCCTAACAAACCTCTAACTGGGAGAAATGTACCAGTGCCATATTTTTTTTTTGGGTCATGATGCTTTTGCATTACAAACCCACATTATAAAACCTTACGATGGTAATCACACAAAAAGATCTTCCAAAAGAGTTTTCAATTATCGTATATGTCGAGGACGAAGAGTAGTTGAATATGTGCTTGGGCAGTTAACCAGCAAATTTCAAATATTCAAGAGACCTATTCAGCTATGTCCACAAAAAACTGCTATTGTGATATTGGCCTGTGTACATTTGTTTAATTATATAAAAAATATATACAGCGAAACGAATATGATTCTGAAAATGATAACGGAGAAATCATACCAGGTGAATGGCGCACAGTAACTCCTGAAAATGATTGTTTTGTTGCCTTGCCAAGAGAGGTCAATACAAATCTGTGTCCTGAAGATACAAGGAACGAGTTGGTTGAATATTTTCTCTCAGATGTCGGAAGCTTAGAATGGCAGTATGATCAATGATCAATTTAATCAAAATCTAAATTTAAAGATTTAATAAAAAAACATAATAATAATCGTTACTTATATTTTAATTTGTGTTTACAATTAGTGACTTACTAAATCATAACATTTCAAAAGACAGATTTATTTCGTGATAACTTTTCTCATGCTAAGCTATATTTATTTCAAATTATAACAATATAATAAAGATCTTAAAGAAAGTAAATTATTTTTCATTTAGGGATTTAAAAACGTTCTCTATATCTTGGCTGCTTATACGTTCACTGTTAGAACTTTCATCAAGCGCTACTGGTACCGAAGATTCAACTCCAGGAAGTTGCGGATGAGGGCTGTTGATGGGATATAGAGATGAAGGGATTGTATTTGGCTGATTATCAGGATTTGTGGTGGTAGAATGCTGATGATCCGGGCTCGTAATAGAAGAATATACAGACGATGAGCGGTTAGAAGGATATGCATTTAGCTGATCATTTGGAGAACCTGTATAGTACCCTGGATGATTACGGGAGCTAGAGGGTCTTGCATAATCTGCATACATATCTGTCTGATATCCAATTTCGGTTTCAAAAATAATGTTATTAATTCGATGTTTTACTATTGTGAAATCATTTCATTGTTTAGATTTTTTCTGGGACGTTTAATCGTGTCATCGGCAAATGAATGAATCATTTTGCTGGGATTGTACAACACTGCTCTCGTTTGATGTCTCCTGAAATTAAAATATTTTTAATCTGTTGTATTGTGTTAAATAGAACGTAACGATAATGCACGGTCAGCACTTTTGAACTTGTTTTGTTATGTACAATAAAACATTTCGGATAAAAATAATAAATGCATTTTTACTTACAGAATCGATCGTGTCATTAGGAGTATTCTTGTTTTGCAAAAAACTAAACGATTTATATGCAAACCACTTGCTCTGATAAACATAATCTGTACCGCTACCCGACTTTTTTGAGTCAGTCACTTTTTTTCTCTCTCTATAATACTGACTTGTCATGTTTTTAATTTTTCTTTCTATTTCTGATACATTTGTATTAAAATGGTTTGCTATTTCATTCAATGAGTCGAAACGTTTTGGTCGACTTTTATGATCTGGGTGTTTGTGACAATTGAGCGCAGGCGTACTCAAGCCGCCAACAATTCGGCGGGCAACACGCGCGGGCGCATGTTGCCGACATGATTCTTTTCATACAGGCCGCCGGGTTGTGTCGCCAGGCTTTGTCGGCGGCCGGCGGGCTCAGGGTGTATTGCGCTATAGGCTCACTCTTGACCTTCATCTTAGCTTGAAGGCATAGATAAGGTCTATGATGTAGCGAGTTTGCCCAGGAGAAGCCTGTTGACACGCACCTTAAAAAGTTTCAGGTTGTACGCTCTCGGAAAAACAGACGCAGGCAGGGCATTCCATTTCTTGGCTGTGCGCATTATAAAAGATGATGAATAGCGCTTAGTGCGAGTGGTCGGAATGTCAACCAAGAAAGGATTTGTCTTCGACCTCGTGTGGGGTGTCCTCGTGCAGCTCTGCGACCTCGGCCGGCAGATCTCCCACGGCCCCTGCCCGATGTGGTTCTCTTTCATTAGTCTTATCTTTATACTCATAGATTTTGTGTCCCGGCTTGCCACAGGTAAAACATGTGATGAATGCATTCTCTTGATCGGTCTTGTCCTTGTTTGTGATGATTTTTGTCTCGGCGTCCAGCAATCTGGCTTTTACAAAATCAAATGTCAGTCTCTTCTCTGTAGCCATAGTCTCGATGGATGTAACTACAGGATCATATTCCTTGGGCAGCAATGACAGCAGGTTGTAACAAATCTTATCTTCATCATCAATTTTGACTTCAATCGTATGGAGATCATTAATAATTGATGAGAACTTTGAGGTAGGTTTCCAAGGGCTCATTGCACTTTAGAGTTATTAATTTGCGTTTTAGGTAGAACCTGTTGTAGACACTTTTTCTCTCAAGTATAATAGGGGTTCAAGTATGAAATTGCCGATTTGTACTGAAAAATTGAAATTCGTTTTTTTTGTTTAACATATTAATTTAATCAAAATAATTGCCATTATTATCTATACATTGCTGCCATCTAATAGGAAGGTCATTTATGCCTTTGCGATAGAACTCTGGTGATCTAGATGGTAGTCCGTTGGAGCATGGCCTGGCGAATACGGAGGGTGATGAATGGTTTCTAGTTGCAGTTCCTGTAGAGTTAAAACGGTTACTCGTGCTGTATGAAGTCTCGCGTTATCATGGCGCAATGATGGTGAAAATCGATTCATGAGTCGGGGCTGTTTCACTGCTAGTTTTGCTATCATTGTTCGGAGTTCGGCACAGTAGACATCTGCCGTTATTGCTTGACCAGATCGGAGAAAGCTATAGTGCACACACCATGCTAACACCATGCTGAGACCACCAAACATTTACCATTACCTTTTTATTGGTAAGCTTAGCTTTAGGACGCTGTTGCGGCGTTTGACCTGGGTTCAGCCATTGCATTTTTCGCTTACGGTTATAGTTAAGAATCCACTTTTTATGTCACAATTCGATCCAATATTCCTTTATTTCTGTATCGATTCAACAAGGCAACTCAAGTTTCAACATGCGTTTTTTTCTGCAGATCAGTCACATCTTGAGGCACACATTTTTCATATTTTTTTTTATTTTATTGATTTGACACAAATGAGTCAATATTGTTGGTAAGGTAACGTTAAACCATGCCGCTAATTCCTGGGTAGTTTAGCTCGGATCGGCTTCCACCATCTCTTTCAATTCATTGTTACCCACCTGTGTGGGCGGTCTTCCACGTGGTTCGTTCTTCAAATCAAAGTTTCCATCACGAAAGCATTTAAACCAAAATCGCACGGTGCGTTCATTAGCAGTCCCCCTCTCCAAACGCAACATTGATATTGCGAGCTGTTTCTGCCGCGTTGGTTCCGCGTCGCAACTCGTATTCAAAAATCACTCGAATTTTCGAAGTGTCCATCTTCCTTGTCTAAGTTGAATAAAAAAAACAACTGAAAGTCGATAATCGAATGTTGCACATTTTTAAAAGAAGAACTACATAGGTACCACGTAAAAAAAGTTTCACTCAAAAATCTCAAACCATGAAGGTTCTATGTCAATTCGAAGTACCTATTACAATAAAACGGCAATTTCATACTTTAACCCCTAATATTATTACGATCTAGCCAAAAACGCAATAAGCAATTTAACTTCAACTTAGTTTTATAAAATAATATAGTATATCTAAGAATGTGTCCAATGGCACTTTTTTTATAGTATCTAGTTAAGGGGAAGACACTTTGTTCTTGTGTTCTATATTGGTAGCACTATAATATTATTATTTATTACTTTCACTACATCACAATATTTGTTTTAACACTCCACTAACTCAAAAGGTCTAGTTCTTTTGAGCCTTCGCACTATGTCCGTGTTGTCGAGGAGCTAGATTGCCTCTACATTCACATGTTTATGAAGTCTTTGCTCGTGAGCTTCTGCGTATTTTTTGATCACTTTATCGACAATCTCTAAATTCAGGTCCCGATGGAACTCGTCGTTTCTTACGTACTAGGGCGTATTTACTATCACCCTGAGAACTTTATTTTGGAATCGTTGGACGATAAGAACAATACTCTTTTTGGTACAGCCCCACAGCTGTATACCATAGGTCTACACTGATATCAGGACTCATTTGTATAATAATATTTTGTTGTGTACGGACAGAGTGGAATGTCTTCCCAACAGCCAATACATCTTATTGTACCGGAATTCCAATTCATCTTTCATTTCATTCATCATTTATCGCGTCAAGCGTCATTCCCAAATACGTTGCTGTATTTTCATATGGTATGATGTTATTTGTTGGAGATTGGTAAATGATAGAGAGTGGACTGTATAAAATAACTGTATTTATTTGTAAATTAAAATATAGCGGATAAGTTAACGTGAGACGCGTGTGGTTATTGGTAGCCGCCGGTATTCGAAGTGGTGGCCCGCCGGCGCACCCGCAGACAGCTATACGCCGCCCTCTCCTCGTCCCTCGGATTCCCGTTCGAGTGATGCGCGAACATGCTCCCCGGGTTGAAGTGGTGCACTTCAATAAATAGGCAAGGGGCAAATGTTGTTGAACCCCCGCTGCATCGTGCCCTTCTTGGTACGTAGCTCAAAGACGCGCGAAACTCCATCACTGCCAGGATACACCTTCTCTATCCTTCCCAGAGACCAGAGAAGTGGTGGAAGTGCCCTTTCCTTAATTAGGGTCAAGGTTCCCACAGCGACGTCACCAGACGATTTGAGCCATTTAGTCTTTTGCTGTAGCAGAGAAACGCATTCTAAATTAAATCTGTTCCAGAAGTGCTGCTAATATTTTCAATTCTTTTGAAGCGCTGGAGTCGGCTGATGTTAATCGAAGTAACCTGATGATGCGGAACAGACATAAGTGGTCGTCCAATTAGAAAGTGAGATGGAGTCAGGGCAGAAAAGTCTAAGGGATCAGAAGAGATGGGAGTAAGAGGACGGGAGTTTAAGATTGACTCTACTTGCGTTAGGAATGTATACATTTCTTCGAAAGTGAAATGTACATTTCGAAGTAGCCGCCTTAAATGATGCTAAGTAGAACGCACAGCAGCCTCAGCAATGCCACTGAAATGGGGAGAATATGGCGGTGCGAAAGAAAATTCAATTCCCTCTTGAGAAATGTTCGAAGATAGATTAGAGTCCTGCAAAAATCGATAAATTTCATTACAGGTGCCTACAAAGTTAGTTCCGTTATCGGATAAAATGCTGCGTGGCTTGCCACGACGTGCAATGAAACGGTTTAATGCAGCCATATAAGCCTCTTTAGGAAGGTCAGTAACAAGCTCTAAATGAACTTTTTTTTTTGTTATCGCTGGGGAAACCCATCATGGGGACCCTACCGGCCGTCAATGGGTAGGGTACTGTGAGACTCCTACTCACTAAAACCCACAGCGGAACCCGTCGCCGCAATGCAATGGGGTGTGCAGGATCGCTTGCGCATTCACTACAACATCCCTGCGGACAGCCCGTACCCCGCGGGCCTGCCTCGCCTAAACCGGGATGCCCTCGATTCACAGAGCATCCCGACCGCCCCGATGACGTGCAGGGGAGTCAACGAGAGACCTCCCCGCAGTAGCTCCTCTAGGGTGGGGGGAGAAGATGCGCATACCGGCGCCTCCTCTCCCCCAGCCGACGGCGACGAAGAGGGTCTGCTAAGGCGTTAGCGTCGCTGAAGGAGACCATCGCCGACCAGGACCTCTCGTCGCGTAGCATGGCCCCCACCACGCTTCGCAACGACAGGTCTCCACCCACTACCGCCATCAAGGCATGGCGCTGGGGAGCCCAAGCGGCGCATACCGCGAGAATGTGGTGCGAGGTGTCCTCGGACGCACCACACTCGTGGCATACGGGCAACGGTTCCCGATGCGCAATCTGACACAGATACTTACCAAAGCTCCCGTGCCCGGTAAGCATCTGCGTCAGCCTGAACGTCAGGACCCCGTGTGGCCTCCTGACCCAGCGAGACAGGTACGGACGAACCGCACCCACCCTCGCCAGGCCAGCCGCTGGAGTCCCCAGTTCTTCCCACTAGCGCCGGATCAGAGCCTCGTCAGCTAGGCGCCTGATCCGAGCGACTCCCTCCCGCGCTGGACGTTCCCCTCGCGCACGCTCACTCGCCCGAAACCGATACACTTCGGCGAGCACTTCCGCCTGGAGTTCCCAGGGCGGATCGCCCGCCAAAAGTGTCGCCGCCGTGAAGGACACCGTACGGTATCCCCGCACCGCCCTCACCGCCAGGACCCGTTGCGCCTTGCGCAGTTGGGCCCTGTTCGGTGCGGAGAGGGCGTCCGTCCAAACGGGGGCACCGTACAGTGCCATGGACCTCACGATGCCGGCATAGAGCCGCCGGCAAAGAGATCCAGGGCCCCCGACGTTCGGCAGGAGTCTGCCGAGGGCCGAGGCGGCGCCGATCAGTCTCGGGGTGAGCTGGGCGAAATGGACACGAAACGTCCAGCGTCCGTCCAGGGTCAGGCCCAAATAACGCATATGGGCCCGAACCTCCACCATCCTACCCTGGACTCGCAGACAGGCGTTGCGGGGGGCACCGTGAAACAGGAGGGCCTTCGTTTTGGAGACGGAGACCCTCAGGCCCAGCATCCCTATACGGTCGGCGACCAAGTTGGTGCCGACTGTGGCCAAGCGAGCCGCCTCCTCATAAGAACTGCTTTAACAGCAAGACAAAGATACACAGGTAGGACTTTAACAATTTACAACCTCGACCTTTCCGGTCAGCTATCAGGACAGGCTCATAATCGACACTTGTATTGAAAAATGGAAATTCAAGCGTACTTCTAGATGTAGGTAATTGACCCATGATTGGCTGTATAGCTTGAGCCTTATGCCTAAAGCACGTTATGCATTTGTTGACAATAGATTTTGAAAGATTTCTGCCGCCTAGAGGCCAATAGCTTTGTCGAATAGTTGCAAGAAGTAGTTGTGGACCTGCGTGTAATAATTTTTTGTTATACATTTTAAATAAGATTTTTGTTAAATGATGATTACTACAGAGTAATATTGGATGTTTAACGTTATAGTCGTAAGGGGAGTTATCGAGTCTGCCGCGGACACGAATTATATTATTTGTGTCTAAAAAAGGCCTTTATGTACTAAGTCTACTCTTACGTGGTAATGATTAACGCTGACAGGACGCTTGCTTGTAATCCTAAAGTCTCTTCGATAGTTTAAGTGTCTAGGATTGGTATAATACTTTTGAAAAAAGAGATGATGGTTTTCCTTTTCTAGGTTTATTCTAGAGTCCAAAAACTTTACCATCTTGTCATTTACCTCTTTATTATCAATTTTTCTTGTATCCTTAGATGGCAAA